TGTACAGTTCAGAGTCACAGAGCCTCCTGGCTGGATGGTCTCAGATGGTGACTGATGGACAGAAGTTGGGATTTTCAAACCTGAACCCTTTACACTGACAAAAGTGCCCTCTGCAAAAGTCAACACAAATGTAGTGCTACTTGCGCAGTAGTAAGTTGCTGAGTCTGAAATGTGCAAATCAAATATTGTCAAGTGATTTTGACCGTTTTCAGCATCCAGTTTGAAGCGTGAATTGTTCTTGAATTCATGATAAAAAGTGGCTTTTGCATTGTACACATAGACGGTGGAGATCAGCTTTGGTTTCTGTCCCAGCGTTTGCTTATACCAGTAAAGCCATGCTGGATCATCACTCTCATAGACACAGTGCAAAGTCATTTTGTCTCCAACATTAACTGATACAAAACCACTCTCTTGACGCAGAGATGAGGACAATTTCAGATCAGTCACATGAGCTGAAGTGAAATGAGAGACAAAGTAAATACACAATTATTTATTATACATTATATATATATATATTGTGTATATATATTAAAATGTCTGTATCTATGAAAAGTTAGAAACACAAAAACACAACTCACCCATTGTCCACAACAACAACCATGTCACATAGGAGGCAAACCTTGGAGATGTCATCGTGTTCAAATTCTTGTGTTGAATGAAGAGAATCGAATACTTTCTCCACTCTTTAGAGACAAGACTGTGTTTGATTGGCCAACCTGATGTGACACTGTGCTGTACGTCCTACTTAGGAAACCTGATCACACGCTCACTTCCATCTATAGAGTCAAGTTTGGTTCATGTAAAGATTCACATGGTGAGAGAGGTACATGTAGAAAGCAATGGCTCTGTATGTTGGTATTATATATAAATAATGGGAAAATAGATCACAGGTATATACAGTAATGTACACTAGTAATGACTTACAGTGAAGTCTAATTAAGCTAAACATTTTCATCACTTTACAGACACATTATAGGTTTGATAATTTACCTGTAACCCCCCCCCAAAAAAAAACAAAAAAACATCATAACATTGACATTTTTGGGAACCTGCCTCTATTTCTTTCATTTGAGATTTAAAAGCAGTAAGTGGTATCAATTCTTTGAGTTTTAAATCATTCTGCAACATATTCCATGATGAGGGTGCAGAGTACACAAAAGCCCTTTTTCCCATTTCCGTTCTGGCATTTTTTTTAAATTTTTTTAATTTAACCTTTATTTAACCAGGTGAGTCCCATTGAGATTAAAAATCTCTTTTTCAAGGGAGACCTGGCCAAGACAGGCAGCAACACAAGACACACATTTGGGACAGTGAGCATAAAGAAGTCCTGAGAACGCAAGGAGTATTGTCCGACACTTTTCTGCATGATGAAGACACACAGGTAGCTTGGGAGCAGACCAAGGATTGCCTTATAAATGAAGGTGTACCAATGACAGAGCCTACGGGTGGCCAAAGCAGGCCATCCTACCCGAGAGTAGAACTCACAGTGGTGAGTCAGAGCTTTACAATTGGTAATGAACCGCAGTGAAGCATGGTAAGCTGTGTCCACCATACGAAGACAGTTATCAGAGGCATGCATATAAAGAAGATCACCATAGTCCAACACAGGTAAGAAAGTAGCAGCAACTAATCGCTTTTTTTCATTAGTTGAAAAGCACAGCTTATTTCGAAAATAAAAACCCAGTTTTAACCTCAACTTTTTCACCAGGTACTGCACATGTGGCTGAAAAGTGAGTGATATTCTGATGTTTCAAAATGCCCTGCGCAACTTGTGTATTCTATCCATTGTTTATGTTGTTGTAAGTAGTACTCTAAATAGTATTTCAGCTAAGTAATCTTCTTCTTCTTCTCAGAATTACCATCACTAGTTTTATTAGCTTTAATGCGTTTGACTTCTAAGCACTCCACTGTTCTTGGATATTTTAGTGGTCTTTGGCTAAAGGAGCATGTATGTGGCAGTGCAACCACATAGACATCCTGCTGAAAACCACAGCTGCTGCACTGACAGAGATACAAAGATAAAGCGCTTTTCCATGCTTAGTCATTGTACGTATTCAAAGCTACCCTACAGCGCAAAGCATTCTAACTTCAGCTTGCTCTTCACCACGAGTTTTCCAATAATACAGTCACAGCCGAGTCAAGTCAGGGCCGACACCTTGTTCGTCCTCTACCAACCAGAGGTGTAGTGGTGCGAATACACAGGTGATACAGTGACTAGCCACCTCTGGGTGGGGGGGCTGCTATTTAGAACGACACATGGAGGTGCTTTCTGATGAGACACACCTACAGTATTGGAAGGGTGACAACATTGGTGTGTTAAAATAAGTTATTTGTTAAGGTTTGGGTTAAAATAACTTCTTCATTAAGGTTAGATGACCTTCGTTGTGATGGTAACATTATAACCATGTGTTAAGGTTCGGAAACTGTTGCGGAAACAATAAGCAATTTCCTGTGTTCAATTCCAACGATGTCCCCGACGTCCCCCCTTTGTCGTTCTATAATAACTTCACGTTACGTCCTCCTTGCTCATGTCGTAGAGGGCTACAGAGCTTTGTCACTTGAATGGGTGTTTGTCCTTTTGGGGCTCAAATGCTTGATGCTGTTGTTTTTCTTGGGAGGACAGTTTCCATTCTTTTGTAGCTCTGTCTTAAGGAGAAACTTGGGGAACAATTCCCCCTACCCTTGTTCCATAACCCACAAGGTCTCGCTCCCAATTTATCAAATACCAACGATTGTCAGTGGTCCACAGCGACTTTTGTCCAGGAGACCACTGATGGTATCTTGTGTGAAAATAATAGTAAAAGTTGACATTCCATCACATGAGTCGTTAGTGTCATTATTCATGTGACTCACAGGAGTCGCTCGTCACGTGACTCGGTAGTCAGTCAAGTTAGCATAAACCTAACTTCCTGTGAAGATGAAAGTTTTATTTTCAAAGGACAGTGTGCATGTAACAAGTGGAAACAGACACGCCGTCCCTGCCACGTCCCAAACTGACGCTAGGGCGGTACCTAGAGTGTCATAGTTTAAAGCTAGCTAAGTTGATCACATAATGGCGATTACACCAGTGCCCTTTTAAAACAATCAAGTAATACATAGGAAGGTGTTTGAAGTCAGACCATGAAGATGCTTAAAGATGCTGGCAGAGGCCAACTCTTCAAACACTATGTAAAACATAAGCCAAGAAGGTAGACGGGCTCCATTGTAACCTAAAGAGAGTCATTGTGAACACACATGCTTCCTTTGTCTCAGGACTTAAAGCTCAGGTTCAAAGCTTTTTTTCTTAATTAATATTTGCAATGTCTCTAATCTTGTGATCAGATAACATTTATTATTATTTATTCATCTTTTAATTATTGGCATTTGCCCCCTTCTCGATCTGTAATTTGCCAAAATCTCTTTTGTACTGTGGTCCTTGATTACTCCACTGTTGGCCTGGGTGGTAACCCTTTTATAGTATCCACCACACTGCTTGCAAAGTAGTAAGTAGCTAAGTGGCAAATGCCTGCTCAGAGTACAAACACCTCTACATCCTGCTGAAAGCCACAAATGTCTTTGCAGTGAAAGTATGGGGATGAAGTTCAACAAATTCTGTTTTCAAAGCAGAAACAGACAAAGTATAGTGACTATATTTACCATGCTATTTTAAACAAGGCTTTACCCAACTTAGGCCCAGAGAGCAAAGCCTGATTACTTTACTATTTTCTTTGACATTATTATTCCCTCATTATACCTCACTAAGATCTGATCAACTGGCATATTTTGACAACACTGTAACAATAAAATTCTATAACTGTACGCTCACTGTAACCTGCTGTTTATACAATGTGACGCTTATTAGTTTTCTACTTAAATACATTTTTAGATTTTTTTTTCACTCACTCGCTCATTCCCTGTTTACTGCAGTTCTTGTCACTTTTAACTCTGTTTACGAGGGGGAGGACGGCCATCCCCTGACTGTCACCAGCCGCTTCTTTTGACCTGTAATCAAGAAGCTAGTGCACTAAAAAGGACTCGATCCCTGACTGGCTTTCCACTCGCATTCACTTCTATGTGTGTTCATTGGCACACACAATGAACTTACAGGTAGAGCTCCTGGAGATTTAAGTTAGATGCGTGCAGCAGTTGCCTGATTGTGATGTTATTGCTCAATAGTACTGGAGTGTGACATGATTGGATTAAAGGATTGGTCATGAATTATAGAAAATGAAGATTCACAGTTGCATTTGGTTGAAAACAATGGATTTTAGAAAAGAAAACTAAGTTACAATGTGAAGACATTCTGCTTAAAACCACACAGACACCAAAACAAAGAGCATAGGTTCATAAATATGCATATGTCCGGCCTTCTCAAAGCATACATAGATCTCATCTGTTGACTGCAAACCACAAGGTAGGCTATACAAAGATTCTTACATCAGTGAGTTTGTTACAATATGCAAAAACAAGTAAACAAGTAAAAACTATAAAAACTGCTTTTTTTGTGAGAATAATTTCCACCTCAGTATATTTTGTAGGTTCCATAGTCTGAACCAAGATGGCAAACTGTATTTCTCCTTTCATCTTTGATAACGGCAGCATTGATCCTCTCCCTCCATTCTTACCTTTCACAATAAAAGCCCTGGTCATATAATATTCACAGCAGATAATTTCTCATCTTCATGTCTGTTATTTGTTATATGCCCCTTTTGTATAAAGGCCTTAAGGCATACAGTACTTCTCAGACCAGAGGACTGTAGAAAAATATGTTGCTGATATCTGCGATGCTTTTACAAACATATGTACACATGGTCAACGGTTAAGGTTTTGCTCATCTCATGAGAGACCGATACAACGGGTATAGTAACAGTGGAAATATGGCACGTTTGCTAGCACAGCTGAACTGTCATTGCACAGTTGGTGAAGTAGATTACTGCAATCCAAGGCTTTACCTCCATTATATGTATATGAAAATATCTACATCACATCTCAACATGTTAACAGGTGTAAACAAAATGACGTTTTACAAAGAAATATATATAGAAAAATATATATAGAAATGAATCATGTCCAGCTCTACAGCCTTACACTGGAGTACACACATTCAGTCTTGGTGTTGTCTCTCTGTCTTCTTGATCCGTTGGCCCTGTGGTCCCTCAAAGCAGCATAATGGAGGTTGTCTGCATCTTGGTAACTCTAGTAGCACATTTATTTTAATTTTAAATGTATGAATCACAATGAAGTAGATGGAAGAAATGAATTGTTGTGATTTTAAATGTGTCAGAATTAAACAGTTATTTTGAATAGATAATAGTCACCTCTGCATTTGTTGCGGTAAAAGCTGAAACTCTTTGAGACTCTGTTGGGAAACAGAAAAAGCTTTTTATTTCAAAACCATCTTCAATGAAGACAAGCTGTTGGATGAAAACATTCCTAGTTACCTGTGCACTGGCAGCTGCTTCTCTTCCTCATCTTGTACACTGAGAAAGCCAGTAAAACAACCAGGATGGTGTTGAATGCCAAAGCTGCAGTCAGGACATACACAAGAGAGTCCGGAGAGTCCACCTCATCTACAGAGAGCCAGACATCATGAGACATTACAAACCTTTCAGTAGAGCTAGATTGATAAATCGTCCGATAGCTTATTGCATTTTTATCAGTATCGGTGTATATCTCGGCAGATGCCAAACTACGTTTAGAAATTGAGAAATGGTGTCTCCATCGCAGAGTTGGTTCACCAGAGAGCACTGACAAGTTCACTTTGTCACATTCAGTAAAATCTCAATCAAATCAAAGGTATACGTATCAAAATTGTGTCATGGTACTGTTGGACTCCTTGCTGTTTTAATTTGCCTTTACATACACATTTGATACGGGAATAGTAATAATTTCTTCTCTGCTAGAATTTGACATCACTTACTCACTAAGTTGGTCCGATTTCCAAACAGTATGTGTCCACACAAGGCAACAGCACAGTAGTCGGTTCCAGCATGAGATGGATTCAGGCTCTTTATCGGCAGGTTGTAGACACAGGTGTGTGTTTGTGTGTTGGGTTTCCTCTCACACTGATCATTCCTGCCTCCATCGGTGTAAATGAGTCCTGGATGAGATTCTTCAGAGTCTTTCAACCAGTAAACACTGTGTTGTCCATCACAGGTCCCAGTGTGAACTGTACAGTTCAGAGTCACAGAGCCTCCTGTCTGGATGGTCTCAGATGGTGACTGGTAGACCAAAGCTGGGATGTTCAAACCTGAACCTTTTACATTAACAGTAGTGCCCTCGCAAAATTCAAACTTGTATTTATCGAAATGCATGCAGAAGTAAGTAGCAGAGTCTGAGATGCGCAACTCTGAGATTGTCAAGTGATTGTTCTTGTTATTAGTTTCCAGTGTGAAGCGTGGATTGTTTTTAAATTCATCACTAAAACTGCTATTTGTAGCAAATTTATAGAAGCTGGAGACAAGCCTTGGTTTCTTTCCCAGAGTTTGCTTGTACCAGAAAAACATAGCTAAGACGTCGTCTTCATAGAAACACCGTAACGTCACGCTGTCTCCAACATCAGCTGATACAAAACCACTCTCTTGACACACAGACAATTTGTCAGTAATTGTCGGAGCTGAATAGAAAAGACACCAAAAAGAGTACAATTAATGCCATGTTAGAAGTTATATAATGATTTGAAATTATAGCGGCAATGAATATATATTCATGAGGATACTAATACATCCACATAATATCCAACTTACCTATTCTCCACAAGCAAAGACAAGTCAGATACAAAACAAAGTTCAGAGATGTCATCGTGATCAAAATGTCTTCATGAATGTGGAGAACCTCCATACGTTCTCTACTCTTAGAGAGAGGACTGCGTTTGATTGGCTAACAAGAAGTGACACTGAATATCCTATTTTGGAAACAGTGAACACATATTCAGTGCCCCCTCCATTGCAAATTCAATTGGTTCTACTGTAGAGTCAAGCCACGTGGTGAGAGGTACTAGAATCACAATATGATTTCTCACCCTCATGTATAAAATCCCTCAGAACAGAAATAACTTGGTTACAAGGAGTGTGGAGAGAAGTAAAGTTCAACTAGAGTTTTGTTGTCCACAGATCACTCGCTTTCATCAGCCGACGTCAGCAGCACAAAGAGCTCTAACGGGTTACGGTATTTAGAGAGTGCTTTGAGAACCAAGAGACAAAGACACAAAATGTTTTTTTTCTCAGATTATTGTTGAAAAGTGAAAAGTAATAAAGTAAAATACTTGGTAATTCAAACATTTGAAGAAGTACTGAATCCCACTGATGATATTGTATGAATGTCATTTGGTCTATTACACCCAGATAAACACTTCTTAACAATTGATGAAAAGCTTGATGCAAGTGTGAATATTTCCTTTATCCACAAAAAAACGTTTTTTTGATCAGGTGAAATGCCAATTATCCGTCTAATAGGAATGCTTTCACTCGTTCACACCTCCTTCGTCACAGGAGTGATAAAGGTGAATGCTGGAAGTGGGCTTGATGGAAAGATGCAAACGATACAAAAAAATCCTATGGTATAACTCGATCTTTGTAAGGATGTATGTGTATGTCATACCCGCTGAAGTCTACACTTTTATTTGTTTAAAATATTTGTCTTAACTGAGCCTCTACCAAACAATAACCCATTTGGGTTAGGCTTTTAGGCTGTACTTAGGAACAGAACTTAGAAGCTAAAAGCAATCTTAGTTTACCTTTTGCTCATTACTATATCCTAGGAATGTCATTAGTTTAGCAGTAATTTGGTCATAAATTGAACCATTGAGCAAAACATTATTTTAAAAAGCGACCCGATAATGCTGTTTAAGGAACGGTTAAGGCACCATCAAAGTGATTACAATCCATCCTGTGGGGAATATGAATGGGAGTGCCACATTTCATGTCAATCCATCCAATAGCATTTCACTCACAACCACAAATGTGAACCTGACGGTGGTAGACAAAGAGACCGGGGATAACCAAAGTCAGCACAGTAGGAGTCAGCTTCTGGGGACAATGAATGTCTGCACCAAATGTTGTGCAAATTCATCCAGTAGATGTTGAGCCATTTCACGGGATAAGTGAAAACTTTGACCTTTGTTTTTGATCACCAAAGAGTTCCTTATATTAGAGGCTGGATCAAAGTAGATGATCAGCCGACCAACCCAGATTGCCATCCCTAGAGCCACGTCACTAGCATGGCTGAACTTAATATTTTCTTTGCAGTGGCTGTTGTTGTTGTAGCAAGTAGTTAATGTAACTCATCACATTGCACAGTGATGTAAATTGTTTCAGCTATTTCTATCAAGAAATAAGTGATTTCTGTTGGAGGACATGATGAGCAGTTTACTCTCACAGCAAAGTGCCACTCCCTTAGCCAGTCGACACTGTTGCACTGCACTCTGAATGATACAGATAAAATCAATGTCATGATTGACGGTATCTATGTTAATGACACAGAGTTGTAATGTGTAGATTACTAGTTATTATTTGATCAAACCATAGTCAAGCCTTTTGTCTCTGATTTATTTATTGATACAATCTACTAGAGTTGTTTGCGCATTAGAGTTGTACTGTGAGGCTGCTGTGCATGAAAGCACTGCAGAAACTTCCTGTCTGAAACCCCAAAGACAAAGAGACAGAAGCATATTGACAGATAATCTTTGGCTGCCGACCACACAGAGGCTAAATGAAGATCCTTACATCTCTGGGTTTGTCTGTATTCAGTCTTGTTTCCACCCTGCGATGAGAGGGCCGGCACTGCTGATCCTGAGCATGTGAACAGAAGAAGTCCCATCCGTATCATTCATGCCTGATGTTTGCAGAGGCTTGCTGATTTCAGAATGTATATTCTGTTAAAAGCACTTGGAATATGATCATGTTACCTGCATTTTTGTTGTAATTTTTGTTGCCAATAATATATAGATTTAGTTTCTCTGCTCCTGTGCACACCCTCCAGCACTTTCGCTCTCGCAGTCATTATTGTAAAGAAAGTTCCACCTCTAGTTAAACCCGAGACCAAATGGACAAATGCTTCTTTTTATCTGGTGAAGAGGGAAACACTGGTTGAGAGAGAACTCACACCTGAACAAGAAAAAACAACAATGATAAACCTCAATTTCAACAAGCATGTGCTGCCCAATGACTCCAGCTCATCTGCCTGTGTGCCCCGTGTACCAGAGGCAAGGTTTAAATGAAGGAAATGAGACGCGTCTCCCGGCATTAGGGGGCATTAAACAGACAGGTATGGCCAGTGTCTGTCATGTACACACTCTCAATAATGAAGCACAACCTGTTGAGCTCTTGAAAGCACTCGTTTTATTAGTTTACTGCGAGGAAAGGATCTGACAGCAATGCTCCTATTTCAGAATAATAGACCTTGTATAGCTTGATAGACACATTCCTCTTGAACAACAATTAGGGAGACATGAAATATTCCCAGCTCCATCACCTTACACTGGAGTACACACATTCGTCGTCCCTCTGTCTTCTTGATCTGTTGACCTTGTGTCCCCTTAAAGCAGCATAATGGAGGTTGTCTGAATCTTGGTAATCCTGGTCATGAAATATATTTTCAATTTTCAATCACCATGTCAATACACATCACTCATGTAATACATACATGTGTAAACACACTAACAGCAACACTTATATAATGCAATGACACATTTCCAAAACGTTCTGGTTTGTACACACAATGGAAATTCATGCAGCAGAATCTAGTTTTTTAAAAGTCCAGGTTATGGTTGGGTAAGTTCAGGTCGCGGAAAAGACCAAACAGTTACAGTATGTATTTCAGAACTATTGTACTAAATAGCATTCATTTGTATAGGTGTAGCCCCCCATACGTTGTTGTTGTTGTATATCTGTCGTATATATATATATATATATATATATATATATACAGTATATATATTTATATTTATTGCGGTGAAATACTTAAAAAGTACTCACCACTGCATTTGGAGTCAAGGCAGCTGAAGATCTTGAGTCTGGCAAAGACAAAAAATACCATATTGATTTTATGAGTAGTACCTATCGACACAAATGAATCAATGAAGACCCAAACTAAAACCAATTCATACTGTAACACCAGCACCATCTAACAGCGTAAAGTCTCCATCAATCATCTCACAGACTCTCCCTCAAACTGATGACTGAAAATCTGAAGTTGTACTTGAGATGTGCAACGGATAAACCATAAATATATCCTCATGGTATGTAGTAGTAATCAGCATGGGGGAGTAATTGATTTCTGACACTCTTGTCTTGATTAGGTTGTCTTTATTCTTCATATCATCCTCAAATGGTCGCCCCACTATCAAGCGCATAAATACAGACTGTTAAAAATACAAATGACAGTAAGCCTACCTGTACATTGGCAGCGGTTTCTGTTGTTCATTTTAAATGCTGCGTATGCCAGTAAAACAACCAGGATGGTGATGAATGCCAAAGCTCCACTCAAGAAATACACCAAGACAAAAGAGTGGACTTCATCTGCAGATCAAAATGATAGAAGATGTTACCGAGCTGTAGAACATCGAGGAGCTAGTAATGACAACTACGATGTATATGAAATGTTACTTACACTCAAAGTCTGACTTTTTCTCGTCTCCAGTCAACAGTATGTGTCCACACAAGGCAACAGCACAGTAGTAGGTCCCAGCATGAGACGGGTTCAGGCTCTTCATCGGCAGGTTGTAGACACAGGTGTGTGTTTGTGTGTTGGGTTTCCTCTTACACTGATCATTCTTGCCTCCATCAGTGTAAATGAGTCCTGGACGAGATGCTTCAGAGTCTTTGAACCAGTAAACACTGTGTTGTCCATCACAGGTCCCAGTGTGAACTGTACAGTTCAGAGTCACAGAGCCTCCCGGCTGGATGGTCGCAGATGCTGACTGATGGACAGAAGTTGGGACGTTCAAACCTGAACCCTTTACACTGACAGTAGCGCCCTCTGCAAACTCAAAATCGTATGAATAGCAACCTGTACAGTAGTAAGTAGCTGAGTCTCAAATGTGTAAATCGGAGATTGTCATGTGATTTTTATTGTTTCCTGTGTCGAGTGTGAAACGAGGATCGTTCTTAAATTCGTTACGAAAAGTGCCACTTTTTTCATGTTTATAAAACGTAGACACCAACTTCGGTTTCTGTCCCAGAGTTTGCTTGTACCAGTAAAAGTTTGCTGCAATTCCTTCGTAATAACATCGCAAAGTCACGCTGTCGCCAACATCTGCCGAATAAAAACCACTGTCTTGACGCACATATATTGACGATTCCACATTGGTCATCTGAGCTGAAGAGAAGAGAGATCCAGAAAGAGCACATTTAATTCAATGATATAAGTCTATCACAATGCCTGCATGCAACATTTGTAATCATATAAAATGTAGAAGAATGCAAATACATTCACAACACCTGTTGTTCCCAGGAACAGATAAGTCAGGTACAAAGCAAACCTCGAAGATGTCATCGTGTTCACGAGTCCAAGTTGAATGAATGAATCTCAATACGTTCTCCACTCTTCAGAGAGAAGACGCTGTTTGATTGGCCAATGAGTAATGCCCAATCCTGATTTGGAAACAACGAACACATGCCTCCATTGCATTGCTCTAAGAGAGCTCAAACAGGTCTTCAGAGAGACGTCCCATTTGTCTGATCTCTACTCTATCATTCCGTATATGCGATCAGGGATTTTGGCAATTGCATGTATTTTATTGTGAAACTTACTAGTTACTAGTTGATGTTCTGTAAGAGTTTTATTGAAAATAACTCATGAAGGTACTTTCAGGTTATGTATAACACTTCAGTTCATTTAAGTCTTTTTTAAACCATCAGTGTTAAAAAAGCACCCGCATTTGTGATGACACAATGTTGTGTTTGTAATATCTTTAAGTCTTGCCAACATTCTATGTATCAATTTCCCCCATGGACCATACACGGACATGGTGTGGCACAACAGGAGGTTGTTCAAAGATTAACCGAAAGAAGGAAGAAGATGTTGGTCCATTGCCTTAACCTGCACTGTAAATTATTTCCAGGATTTCATGATATTTAGCTGTAATATTTCACAATAATTTCCATAATTACCAATTCACAGGCTTTAACTGTGACATTTCACAACATAAGACTGCATTCAGAATACCTCTAGTAGCCAGTAATTTAAGATAAATGTATTGTGAAATATTTTACAGTGGTATGTCCGTATTACGTTAGTAATTTGAATTAGATATTTTTTGTTGTGGTAACTACATGTGGCTAATTTTGCTGGTAACAGTAAGTAAGTAACAGTAAATTCACTGCAACACCAGCTCCTTCCAAACACACACACGTTATGGCCACTGCTTTGTTGATACATCAGTGAATAGAATGGCTGTGTGTTAGCACAACTGTCTATCCATTGGAAATACCAGGCAGACTTTGATTAATCGTAATAGGAAATGTGTTATAGCATCTGTAAATGTTTACACATTAATATGTAAGTTAATTGAAAAAGTCTGCGCATTAGAGTTGTACTGTGTCGCTGCCGTGCATGAAAACCCTGCAGACTTCCTGTTCGAAACCACAAAGAGGGCAGAAGGTCCTCGAGAAGTATGCGACCAAATGCATTGAGAGATCGTCTTTGACTGCCGACCACACCGAGGCTAAAAAAAGATCCTCACACCTCTGGATGTCTGGTGTGCAATCGGCACATTTACTGTCAACAGCCTGTGAAGAATAACGTCGACATAAAAACACTCGGGGGTGTTACTCTCACATTAGTTTGTGCCGCATGCAAAGCGAACTTCATAAATGACATGTTGCCTTGTTGTAGCCCTGCTG